CCAAATGGGAGCCCTGAAGAAATTGACCTTGTGTCCAGAAGTGGAAATGAACAGAATGGATTTCACCAGGTGGAGGGAGACGCCTCCTGATGCTCTCAAATCGTGATTCCTTGCCAAAGGCACTGGACTCAACTGTCAAACCAAGGAAAAGTTTGCTTGACAGACTGCCCCTGGAGCTGTGGGAGAAGCGCTGGTTTTGGATACACAGAAGATTAGAACTGGGAGTTGATACCTTGGAAAAAAAAAAGACCTTTGTGTACACAAGTCTTAAAGGAGAAGTCTGTGTGGGTGTCAGTTTAGTTTACAGTCAAGATATATCTTTAAAGCCGATTTATCTCGTGGCCTTATCCAGAAGCAAGCTGTGAGCCAGTCACTCTGCCCCATGGGAGATATGAGTATGCCCACTAGGGATGCAGACAGGCTACTGTTCTCGGGGCCAGAATTTCTCACTGGCATTACTGTAGGCAGAGTTTTCCTGTCCTAACAGCCACTCTCAAATAACCACTCAGAGTCTTAATATTAATTATAAATGCTCAGCCAATAGCTCAGGCTTATTACTACCTAACTCTCATGCTTTAAATTAACCCATATTTCTTATCTACTCTCTGCCACGAAGCTCATGGTTTGTTATCTCATTTTCTACACATCCCTCTTCCTCTGAGTCTCCTGGCATCTCCCTTGACTCTGCCCTTCTTCATCCCAGCATTCTTAGTTTGGTTGTCCCACCTATATTTCCTACCTGGGTACCGGCAAGTCAGCTTTTTATTAAACCAATTCGAGTGACAAATCTTTACAGTATACGAAAGGATTATTCCACAGCTATTAGGCTATTAGCTAGATTGCTGGGCACAAGCTATGCTTTTTACATAGCTTTTTTCATGAAGGGCACTGAAGTTGGGAATCAACTAAGAGATGCAGTCCTGTAAGTGTGGGGACCTGGGTGAAGGCCACAGGTCCTCTTCTATTGCCAAATGACAGGAACTTGTTGAGCCAGAATCTCTGAGACTCATTTAAATTGTTTTTTAGGAGGGGCATAATCCCCCCAGACATGATGTCAAAATGCAGAGACTGGATAATGTTTGTAAGCCACAAACATCTTGAGATATTGGCAAAGTCATTGGTACAATGTTGGGCTGTTTTTTTCCTCCTACTTGCTTTGTCTGAGTATTTTATTTTATGCTGCAATATGAATTTCAGGCTGTTTCTTTCCAGTTCTATAGAGAACTTAATGGGTTTTGACGGAATCTGTAGAATCTGCACATTGTATTTGGAAGTATGCTCATTTTAACAACGGTAGCTCTGACAATCCATGAACATGGGACGTCTTTCTAGTTTTGATTCTTCAAAACCTTTCTTCAGCATATTATAGTTTTATCAATAGAAATTTTTCAACTCTTTAGATATGCTTGTTCCTAGGTGTTTTATTTTAGGGAGGAGAATTGTTATACATGGGACTTTTCAAAGTTCTCCATAATTTCATGGTCAGAATATTCTGGAAGCTCCTGATTTTGTAGGTTGGTGCTGCATCTCGCGGCTGACTTTACACAGCATCATAGAAGTTTGCTTTCGAAGTGGTTGTAAGGTCACACCATCTGCAAACACGGACACTTTAACTTCTTACCTTGGTATTTGTATCTCTTTTGCTGGTTTCTCTTGCCTGATTTCTCTGATTGAATCTTAACTACATAATCACTTTTAAGTGTACAGTACCACGACCCTGAGTGTATTAATTGCATTGGGCAGACCTCACTGCTAGCCACACACAGAACCTTTCATAATTCCCAAATGAGGCTTTGTAAACACCCAACAGTAACTCCACCTTCTTCTGTTAACCACTGTCAAACCATCTGTAACAATTTCCCTGTGAAAACACCTTATATTCGTGGGATCATAGACTATTCGCTTTTATACGCCATTACATGTAATATGTTTTCAAGATTTATCCATGATATAGGACATATTGCAATCCCCTTTTAAGGCAGCATAATATTCCATTGCACACACAGAAATAGAGAGAGGTGTGTATACATGTGTATACTCAGAAGCTCACAGCAATTTTTTGTTTAGCTACTCAGCTATTGCTGGACATTTTACCTTGCCTCCATCTCTTGGCTACCATGAACAACGTTAAGAACACAGTATCGGAATCTGCTTGCCCCTCTCTCTAATCCTTCTGGGTAACTAGGAGTGGAATTTCTGGATCATATGTTCATTGCTAGATTCTATATTTAACTCTTTGGGGAACTGCCAAACTGTTTTCCAAGCAGCTGCATGATTTTATGTTCCTTCCAGCGATGAGCAACTTCTCCACACTCTCTGGACCAGTTGTTATTTTCCTTTTGTGAGAATAGCCATGTTAGCGGGTGTGAGATAGCAGTCCCATTTGTTTGGAAGGATATCAGATACAGCTCCATGTGCTGAGGTACCAAAGAGCAGAGGAGGTGGGATGCTTACAGTTGGACCCCAGGCACATTAAGAAGTAGACCTGGCTAGATGGTGGTTTGCAAGACCTTTCTACAAAATAAAGTGCTTCTCTGGAGAGGACCAGGGCCCTGCAGCTGGGAACGCAGACACTGAGAATTTTAACTACATATTTAATTACCCATCCATTTGTTCTTTCAATCAATGAGTCCATATTTATCGAGCACCTACTTATGAAACTAAGAAATAGGGAAGGACTTTATTAAATACTGCACCAATATCATTCCTTAGCTTCCTCCAAAAGGACCCTCAGATATGCTCTCGTCTAATACCTGCCCTATTTGAGAATGTTTTCTAAACTTAGAGAGGTAGGAATAGGCCTCAGGCTTCCAAATCAGCAATCAGCAATCAGAAAGGATATAGTCCCAGCCAGGAGACAAAGTCCGTCTAAGTCATGGACGGGTGAGCTTAAAACAAGGGCGAGCATTTGCAAGGAGGATCTCTTTTCTTACAGCTCATTCCACAGTCCTGTAACGTAATCAGCTGGCAAGACTCGAATGCCAGGGGGAAAGTGTCAAGTAGACCCTTTTAGATAACCCCAGAGCAATCGCTTGGTCCTTCCACTGTGGAAGCCTCCCACAGACTCGTACGTAGCTCACAGGCTGCGGGGCGAAAGGGAGATGCCACCAACTTGGAGTTTGAGAGCTGTGTGCGAGTGTGTTTGATTTCATGTCTTGGAATAATCTCTTTATACACTGTGAAGATGAGTCACTCGGATAGGTTTAATAAGCAGAATGGCCGCCGGGCAGTGGTGGCGCACGCCTTTAATCCTGGCACTCGGGAGGCAGAGGCTGGAGGATCTCTGTGAGTTCGAGGCCAGCCTGGTCTACAAGAGCCAGTTCCAGGACAGGTTTGATAGCTACAGAGAAACCCTGTCTCGAAAGACAAATAAACAGACAAAAAGTGAATGACCAATAGCTAGGCACTAGGCAATAGAGGACAGTGGGAAGAGGAAGGGAGGAGGAGATGCGGAGCAAACAGATGGGCAGTACTGAGATAAGGTAATAAAGCCAAGAGGAAGAAAGTAAATTAATGGAAATGGGTTAGTTTAAATGGTAAGAGCTGGTGGGACAAGCCTAAGCTATAGGCTGAGCTTTCATAATTAATAAAATCTCTCCATATCATTTTTGTGAGTTGTTGGTGGCCCAAAGGGGAAAAAAAATCCATCTACAATTTCATTCTGGGAAAATTCCAAAGGAGAGAATTTGGAGGATTTATGAATAGCATAATGTCTGTGCAATTGGATTTCATCGAGAAACACGGGCTCATTTTCTGGCTCACGCTGGGATCTTTCAATTATATTAAGGGGCAAAGAGAAAGAAATGAAAACAGTGGCGAGGGTGCAATTTAGAGATAGAATTTCCACACGTGTTTAATTTTTTTTTTTTTTTTTTTTTTTCTTTGCCTCTGGTTAGTGCTCAGACCTGGGGTAAACTGAACTGACAGGCAGTTCCCTTCCCTAGTGTCACATTCTCTTCTAATGTCTAATGTCTGGGAACATTCCAGAGCCACACGAAAGAAGACAGACCCCACCCACTGTCACCCAGGAGAGAGTTGCAGCTTCCTAGACCTGGGTGGGGCTCTGCAAGAATTCTCTCTCTCTCTCTCTCTCTCTCTCTCTCTCTCTCTCTCTCTCTCTCTGTTTGAGCCATCCCAGCATCTCAGATGACAGCTGGGACATAAGATTAAGTACAATTGCACCCAATGAACTCTCTATAACTTGGATGCAGGCAATCTCTACTCCCATCCCATCTGTAGTCTTGATGCTTTGTCTCATTTCCTACTTTACTGTCATTTTATGTACCTAGAAATACTTGGCAGAAGTAATTAATGTCTTCAATACTTGCAAGGACTTCTGCATAAAGATCATTATAGTCAAGATTGTTTTTTCAAGACCTTGACAGTGTGCCAGGACCTTGAAGGGAAACAGAGGGCTGGCGATCAGTCACCAGCATCCATCCTGGGTAAGCGCACCACACAGCTGTGTCAGAGGATCCTGCATCCTGGCTCAGGGCCCTGTTTGGAAGCTTTCCTTGCTTAGCTAACTGGACCTGTCCCTCCAATGGTCTCTACCTGGCTTCCAGATGCAGCCTCAACCAGCATCTTCATGTCAACCTGGCCTCATTGGCTGAATCCAGTCTCAGGCTGATCCCACGGCGGGGGCTAAGCAAGAAGACCCTGAATGCCTTCTTTTGCACAGTGGCAGAACCTACTTATTTCAGAACTATTTTCAATGCATGGACATTTTGAAAGAATAAGCAAGCCAGTGGCTAAGCTTAACAGTTAATAAAATAGAACCCTGATGAAAACCACCCAGCCAGTGGAGATTACTGTTTTTTTTTTTTTTTTTTTTTAACAAATTCAGGATTCAGCAGGCTTAGTAGAAAGTGGAAGCCAGCACGTGAAAGCAGTTGGCAAACAGCTCTTGCAGGGGAGTTGGAGATTGTGTGACATCATCTAACTAGAGGTCTGGCCCTTGCTATCTCTTTCAGGATCGGAAGCAATGGGAGCAGTCATAATCTAGCTCCGCAGGTTTGCAGCATGCAAAAGCAGATGGGGGCCAAGCACTGAACCATGGCAGATGACTGAGCCTGTTCTGAGAGGGACTGAGCATGCCCTAGGAAAGCTCTGTCCCCACCTGAAATTGAGGTGAATCACTCAGAAGCCTGGGACATGAGGTGAGAACTTGGGGGTGCCCTCTTGACCTGCATAGGCAGGTTTCTTCTGGTTTTGTTTCTCAAGTCTCATCTCCGAGTCTGGAAGAATGAGTCCTGTGACAGAGGTGGCATCTGGATCCTAACCTACAGAACTTAGCTGCTTTCTTGTTCCTATACATCCTGAAAGAACATATTTTATAGCCCAAGAGAAGATCCAAGTGTACCTTTAGACGGAAAGGGAATAACTCAGAAAAGATAGGTTTGGTCTAGTCTAGCCCCTTCTTGATGATTCTGAGGGATTGAGCCTGGGGCCTTGAACATGTGAGAGGCAGTTACCCTGGCATACACAGCCACACACTGGGTAGCCTCAGCCCACATACAGGCCGCACGGAGCTAGGCACATAGACCTACCGACTCATACAGGCAAGCTGGTGAAGGTTAAGGATCGGGCCTCTGACCTCAAGGCCGTAGTTATGCAGAATCACTGAAAAATTGCACTTTGTCAGGAATAATTACACAACAGGTTACATCACTCTTTACTTTGGGGGTTCCCTGGGCATCTCATGTCAACCATTTTGTGCTGGGTCATAGCCTCCCTCCCCCAGCCTGAATCAGTCACATTTTCACTGACCCGTATTCGATATCCGTATCAGCACCATGTGGTTTAAACATAAACTGGCCCTTACATCCTTCTATTCCTACAATACGGAAGTGTCCCCCACTGGCCGGTATCCCAGCCCTCTGAGGATTTCATGCATTTTCCCCTGCGTTTGTATTTTGAGAGGAGGGAGGCCCATCCAAGATTCTCCTGTCTCTACCAGCCTTCTCTGTCCTCGCTCTCGTTTCTGGAGGGAGTCACTGGTCTGGGTACACCACAGAGAGGGGCATCAGGATGGATTGGCTCAGCACTCATCGGTTTCTTCTTGCTGTAGGTCGGCCTTCAGGCCGAGTGGATCCTTCCTACTGCCCCAGCCCTGAAAAGGGACATGACATTGTAGAGGACGATTGGCAAGCTCTGGCTTTGTCTAGAACTGTGCTGATATTTAGGGGTGACATAGTAGGCTGCAGAGTAGTAATAAAACTGACATGTTGATTTCCAGCTGTTGGCTGCTGCATCTTCTCTTGTATTTTGAACTCAAGTAGTGGGAGTTGGTGTTGTATATAAGCCCCCTAAATGCCAAACAGCTTCAGTATTCGGAGAAACCATTTACCTTTCTCTGTCCAAATCATCCTGCAATCTAGTCTAGGTCGAATCACGTGACCTGTCGGGGCTCTGGGCTTCTTCCCACTGAGGGGTACAATGTATCGCTGTAGCTGCCGTGGGTTATGTCCCCCTCTCTGATAATAAGGGTGTGGATTTCCCATTGCCCAGGCAAACACAGACTTCATGGAGCCTTACCCTCGGCGGAAGATCCCGAGCTCTCCAGCCGCGCCCTTTCTGTGGGGTACCTGTCCTCATTTCTATTCAAGTCCCGCAAGCAGGTTACCTTAAGCCTCGGTGCTAGATCTGCCGGGGAGCACAGGGCAGCTGCTCACAGAACCCAAGTATCTCCTGGCATGCAATTCAGCCAGCACCTAGGAAACAAGATTGGCTCCTAAACCAGGTCGGTGTCAGGCGAGATAATCACAGCCTGGAATTTGCGAATATCTCCCCGGTGGGTGCCACAGTCTTGTCTGTTTCTCGTGCAAGGAGAGGCTGGAACCCTGTTAAAGACAGGATGTCAAGGCCAAGTATATCTCCAACTTTGCGCCCCCACCCCACTCCCCGTCCTGTGACGGCATTTGCCCTGTTTACATTGTGTCTCCTGACGCTGGGGGCTGCTGTACTCCTTCTGATGTTGAGGCCCAAGAGATCCTCCAAAGAACACCTGGCCTGCGTTTCCTTGGCTCCTGGCAATGAGAGTTGCCAAGAACTGTAGAACACGCGGGGTGAAAAATGCAACAAAGGGCTTCCAGATGCTCTGGTCCTGGGGTGTGCTGGGTGCTAATGCTCACAGAGTGTACGGAGCAGCTGCCCTCAGGTGATTCAGGGAAGCCAGCTTACAAACCCTTCCGTGCCGAGCGGCGCTCAGGGATGGTTCTGGCACATTTGACCTGAAACATCCAATTGGAATGTTCAGCCACATTGTTAGGAGAGTAGAGACTTCCCTTTAGTAAAGGATCCACTTTAGCTGGGGCTCCTGGAACTAAAGGGGAGACATACAACAGCCACTGACCATGAGTGATGGGTGCCAAAGATGCAAACCCCATGATGTCTTTAGTTCTGTAACCGGCAATCCTATGCTTTTACAGTCAGCCATATCGTCCTAGTCAGGCTATTGCTGTGATGAAACCCCATGACCAAAAGCAAGCTGGGGAAGAGAGGGTTTACTTGGTGTATACTTTCACGTGGTAGTCTACTATTGAAGGAAGTCGGGACAGGAGTTCAAATAGGGCAGGAACCTGTAGACAAGAGCTGATGCAGAGGCCATGGAGGGGCGGATGGTGCTTACTGGCTTGCTCATCATCAGCTTGCTTTCTTATAGAACCCAGGACTGGGGGTTGGAGAGAAGGCTCAGCGGTTAAGAGCACTGGTTGCTCTTTCAGAGGACCCAGGTTCAATTCCTAGCACACACATGGCAGCTCACAACTGTGTAACTCCAGTTGCAGAGGGTTGGACAGCTTCACATAGACACGCATGCAGGCAAAACACCAACGTGCACAAAATAAAAATAAATCATTTTTGTTGGGAGCAGTGAGACCCCAGATCCTGAATTTCTTGTAAACAACTTGTTTTCCCCTGATCTGAGTGCCTACAGCTGCTCTGAGCACGAGACCTTCAGGAGTTCCTGATGGCAGGAGAGTGGTTTCTGGTGGGTTTGGCTGGGGCGTGGCTATCTCTATATAATCTGCCCCTGAACACAATAAAGGGGGGCATTCTTGGGGCTTTGGTACCAGTATAAAAAGGTCTGTGTGTCTGTCTGTCTCTGCATCTGTCTATATTCTCAACCTCCAGCCCTTTACCCGAAGCTCGTGAACCGGGTTCTAGCGCACAGAGCGCAGACATGGGGGCGCAGTGGGCGGCAGTTTTTTAAAAAAGAACTCAGGATCATCAGTCCTACAGCCATTTCTTATGAAAGCATTTTCTCAGTTGAGGTTTTCTCCTTTTAGATGACTCTAACTTGTGTCAAGTTGATATAGAACTGGCCAGTACACACATCTCCCCCTCCCCGTCTCACTTCTCTTGTCTTGATTTACTAAGGGAATTTACTATGCTTTGCTATGTTTTATAAAGCAATTTCAATCTCAGGGTTTTTTTTTTTTTGGATGGCTTTTGAGGGACCCAGTTTGACACCCCCCAAAAGGGAAGAAACTGCTAATGTCACCAGGGTCCCTGATTGTCCCATTGACCACATCAGTGAACACCAAGCTTTCCCCATGTCATCGTCATGTACTAATGTTACAGCCTCCAAGGCATATTGCAAGGCTCTTCCCGCTCCTTAAGAAAACTGTGCCAGATCACGGCACCTCAAACTGATGTCTGAGATTCCACAATAAATTTGAAGTATCTGGGACAAAACACAACTATTAAGTGTGTTGTAGTGAATTAAGTGTTGATTAGTATTAATCAACCATCAGTTTTTACACGTTCATTTTCATCAAATGAACTGTAAGTCACTAGAAAATGTATCTAACTCCCTCTGACCCCATCATGTCTGGTGTATTGACAAGACTTGAAGATACTGGATAGGAAAACGTGTAAACATTTAACAAATTTTAGAGCCACGTGTGGTGGCTCATGACTCTAATACCAGGATGTGGGAAGCTGAGGCAGAAGGATTGCCATGAGTTCAAGGTCAACCTAGACCTTGCCTTCTCCAAATACTGCCGGCATTTTCGATAGATCTCAAAACGTTGCCCTCCAGGAAATCTTCCCCAGCCACTACGGCTCACATGAATTTCTTCTGCCCTTCGTCACCACCCATGATCCCCGGAGTCATGTGGTCGTTACTGAATTATGCCTTGTCTGAATTCATATGCTGTTTCATACATGAGAGTTCTAGTTTCAAATGTGTAGCCAGAGTTTCCTGAGTTGGCATGTGCCAAGACCTCATAACCGTCTGACCACACAAGTCGTAAGCTTGTTGTTGACCTGGATGCTACACTCCAAAAGAATTTGCTGTGGTGGTTTGAGAGAGAATAGCCCTCAGAGGGAGTGGCACTGTTAGAAGCTGTGGCCTTGTGGGAGGAAGTGTGTCCCTCTGGGGGTGGGCTTTGAAGTTTCTTTTGTTTAAGCTTGGCTCAGTGTCACAGTTGACTTCCTGTTGCCTGCAAGATGCAGCGCTCTCGGCTCCAACACCACATCTGTCTGCAAGCCCCATGTCCCCTTCATAGTGATAATGGACTGAACCTCTGAAACTGTAAGTGAGCTCCCCCCACCCCACTTTCTTTTGTAGTGTAGTGTTCTTTGTGACAGTTGCCGTGGTCATGGTGTCTCTTCACAAGAGTAGCCCTAACTACTAAGACAGCCACCTTTTCCACCATGGCTGCCATTATGTGTTGAAGGGCAGACTTTTGTATCAGAGAGACCTGAGCGTGAGTCTTTTTTTTTTTTTTTTTTTTTTTTTTTTTTTTTTTTTTGTTTTTTGGTTTTTCGAGACAGGGTTTTTCTGTGGCTTTGGAGCCTATCCTGGAACTAGCTCTGTAGACCAGGCTGGTCTCGAACTCACAGAGATCCGCCTGCCTCTGCCTCCTGAGTGCTGGGATTAAAGGCATGCGCCACCACCGCCCGGCCCTGAGCGTGAGTCTTAGGCTGTCATTTATAAGGCTCCTGCAGGCAACCCTTCACTTAAGCCACCAATGGGCAGTAGTAACAAGAATAAAACCACTGGGCAGAGAAATATCATCTGTAATGGGGAACAAGGGTAAGAACGGACCCACCCTCTGGAATCAGACAGTATAGCCTTGACCTATAGTAATTTTGTTCCCTAATCCAATCTCCTTATCTGTAGAATGGCGGTGGGGGGCGGTCTCCTGGAGCT